TTGCACATTACCAACACTTCCTTGACGTTGGGAGTGTCCAGTCGGTGCTGCACGCATCGACAGTCCTCCAATCGTTTTGCAAAGGTCCGTGGCAGTCACCTTCAGTGAATTCTCCTTATCATATTGAACAGTCCCGAAGGCCCTCCAATCTCAAACACAAAACGACGCAGTTCAGCTACGGCGTATTTCTCAATGCTGCTTTCCGCAGGCAACACAATCGCCATTGCATAGCCAGTCTGCACGGCGCTTGCATTCAGGATGGTCCGCTTGGGAAGGTCAGTCTCCATAGACAGAAAGGAGAAGTCAATCTGAATCACCGGTTGTCGGTCATTCTTGTGAACTGCATGGCTTTGTCGTCCCTTCGATTTGACACAGTGCTCGCACCAGTCACGATAAGGGAGGTGAGTAAGCTCATGAATCTTCTTTCACTCTCCGACGGTTCCCTTGGAGTCGTCAACATCTTCGGCTTCACGGCACTCTTGCTGCTCGGCATTTTCGACAGCAGTCGGCCGATCGAGGGGAACAAACAATTTATAGCCAATCCACTTTTGACCAGTAGGACCCCTCGGGTCCTCGCATTTCTTGACAGTATCATCTGGCATTTCGATGTCAGCCCACTCAATTTGATGGCCAGTGTCAATCTGCGACGGATCACTCGAATCGAAGAACATTGTATAACGATCACCCCACAAGCAGTCACTCAACAATACATCGACAGGTGAAGGAGCATCATCTGGGCGGAAGTAACAGTCTCTCCACTCATGATGCATTCGTGTCCGACAACGAGGAAGCCGTATCCACCGGTCAGCAGTCCGGGGTGCTGCAGTCTCTGGATCCTCGAGATTGGACACTTGCAACAACAACTCCTTCATTCTCCTGCCCTGTTGTGGCAGTGACCGAAGGGCATTCTCCAACTCCAGCTCCTCAACATTCCGACTCACTCTCATTTGGCGATCAAGCACTTCTGGCTCAACAGCGGCCTTTCCAACGACCTCAATCGGGTCACCGGACTTGCGGAATTCAACAATTTCGTCATTCACAACCTCAGACTTGTCACGCCCGATCAGTGGATCATATGGACATGGTGAGTCTTCTGCACATGACTCAGTTGTGGCTTATGCTTCAGGCTGAATTCCACTCGTTCTCGCCAGTCCTTAGGGTCTTTAGGTCTCGTGTTCTTCATTGCCAGGAAATTCTCATCCCTGACAGTGACAGTCGAGCCGTCCTTGTACTGCTTCTATGTCACTCGCACACCAATCAGTCTTGACCATTGACCAGTGATGGGCACTGGCGACTTGTTCGCCAGTTTGATCCTTGGGTCCAACATTTCGTTACGCCACACTCGAACATGTCGAATCAGCTTCAATTCCGACTGATTCACTTCCCACATGTCCCAGCGGGTGCCTTCTTTGGCCTTCATTCCTTGAGCAGCTGCAATCAGCGCTCCAATCTGGAACAAGTGGCCAATCGAGCTGTCATGCATATCCGACACTCCACTCAACTCAACGGATCCAACGTCATGCTCAAACCCAGTCATCACTTCTGGGAGACAACCCGCTGCCATCTTGCCGCATCTGCCACGGCATAGGGTATGACAGTCGGTTTCAAATACACCAGTGTGCCTTGACGCACAATCGCCACAGGGTTGCCAGTTGGATCAATCAAGGCTAGCTAGTCCTTGACCACTATTGCCCAGAAATCTTGCAACAACAGTCGGGCGACACTCACCAACAAGAACGGTATCCCGGTGCACACTGAAAACTGCACACTCAACGCCAGTCATAATCGTCCCACGAAGACCGTTCATTGCCATTCCATCCAGCATCATGGCTCCATTCCTCTTGGTTTCCTTCCTGCTGTCATTCTTCCTCAGTCAAAGCTGACATTCGTCCTTTACCTTTAGGGCATTCCTTACTCCAGTGGCATGGATCTCCACACAGAAAAAGTTCCTTGTCCTTTTCCTTTTCCTTTCTTTCCTTTGTATCCTTTGCTCTTTGCTTTGCCGTTCCTTTGTACATTCCTGTTCCATTGTACATTCCTTCTCCTTCTCCTTTGTGTCCGTTCCTTCCTTTTCAGTGCTCCAATATCCATATCGACCGGACCATCATTCCTGCTTGGCACAACCAAGTGTCTACTCGTGATATAACTCTAAACAATCTCAAGCGCTTCAGTAGAGGCATTGATGTTCCTGACATTCAACCTCGGACCAGTAGTCTTCTGCATTGTCAACGTGGCCAGCAAATCATTGTCCAGCGGCACTCCTGTCGTCTTCTCATGTCTGTTCTTCAATATGATGAAATCACTCAAGTCACTCTCAAGATGATCGCTCCGCAATCGAAAGGCAATGATCTCATTCAAGCGATTCGTTGCGCGGGCTCTGCCAGGCAGTGAGAACTGGTTGAACAGTCGACGCCAAATCTTAAAGCCATTCTCCGTGTCTTCACTCCTAAGCATCGCTCTCGCAGCTCCATCAGTGATCTGTGCCAACATGTATGCCAGTTGTCTAGCACACAGTGACAATTGTTTATTCTGTGTTTGTGTCTGTTGCACATCGTAGGCTTCACACAGTCCATCAGTGACAATCTTTTGTGCAGTTGACTCAATCATCTTGGCCAGTGGTTTGTACAGTCCTACATATCGCTTCAGCTGCCACGACCAGTCGTCCCGTTTGTCCAATTCACCGTGATAGATCGGTGGAGGGAACAGTTTGATTTCACCACCAATTCCTCTTTCTCCGAAGTTCATTCTTCCTCACTCCTTCCCTGGTTCCAGAGCCGAAGCTCCGCTACCATGCAGAATTCCACTATACAATCTAGACAGTTACGAGAAACCATCAGATCAATCACTTTCCCCACAATCACACACAACACTCCAGCTTCCTTTGTGCAACCAAGCAGTCGTCCAGTCTTGAGCCAATGCCATACGGCATTGTTGCATTCATAAATGCATCGTGAACATTAGGGATACATTGGGCTCGTGTCATTTAACAGAGAGAGAGAGAAGCACGCCGAACGACGTAGCTCTCAAAGAGTCCAGCTCGTGTCAACGCCCGAAAAGTCTCACAACAGACCGAACTTGGACAAGCAGCGTAGCGCTGTGCGCAGGGGCGGGGGGGACCTTCCCCCACGCTCCACACGCTGAGCAAGCGAGCAAGAGGCAAAACAAGAGCGGGGCACGGGGTACTACAAGTTCAGTCGGGGAAACGAGTGTGCTTCTCTCATCCCCGAAAGGGGCCGTACAGACCTTGCGACGCGCGGACTGTGGACGGGGCTGGCCTCCGGGCCAGGGTTCCCCCGGGAGCCCATACCCCGCAAACAAGCAAGAAAGAAAGAGCATGGAGGTGGTTTGTTGGTTGAGCAAGCTATTGATTCGCGTGGCCATGTGCGCCATGCAGGTCTCCATCTCGGAACCCTTCCGGGCCATGCACCTGATCTTTCTCAGGGTGCTGACAAGTGCACGCAATGCACCAAAGCGATCTTGAGGCACTGGAGCAGGAGGCCTTGACGTGCACAGATTCAAGTCGACCAACGAAGCGCTCAGTCCGTCGCCTGTAATCGCCGTCTTCAGGATCTCCGCGAAGTCCAGCGCCTGAAGGGCCTGGACCGGCGCCTCCGCCAGCGAGCCCGGGCACCAAAGCATCCCAAGCTACCGATGCTCCCGGAAACGAGAGAGTTCAAATGGCGTGGCACTTCGTGTCGGTGTGCTGCGAGGCCGCCCGACGAGCTCCAGCAAAGCCACCGCCGGACACCCGGACACGTGGCACATGGTAATTCATATAGGACTTGCAGAGCCGCCATGCCCCGCAGGCAGCATGCATTTCAGGGCAGCGACGCCTCCACATGGGCTGCCCTGGAGGAGGAGGAAGCTATCCGACCTATACACTCTACCAAGCTTTTCCAAGCTAAACTTTGGCTGCATTACGTGTTGGATGAGGACGCAGGCATTGAATCAGCATTGGTCGGTGCCGGCCTGAAAGTTGGGAGGGTTTTGTTGGAGGACGCGGCCATCTTAGTGCAGTCTACTATAATCTATAACAGACGTGATTCGGAAAGTCTATCGTGGAGATACTGGCGGATTTTCTATGGATTCTACACACAAGTGCACACCAAGTTGCGGACCCTGAGGGCTGCTCGGTTTGCACTCGCTTTTCTCAGATCTTGACGACCCTCGACGGCCCCTGGATTTGCGACGCTACCAGGAGTTGAATGCATTGCAGGCAGGCCTGCTATGCCGACCATGACTTCCATATACGCACATGCAGGAGTGAATACCGAGCCCTAAACATGCTTGCATATGCTTGCCAGGATCGGTCCATGTCACGCCTTGAGGAACAGGCCAGATGAGAAACGGAGAGCTGCCGCGAATTCGCCCGCCCTCAAAGACTACCAGGCTCGATACACAGCAATATCGCCTGGCATGTTGGTGCCTTCTTGACGCAGGAGAACACTCAAACACCACAGCGAAAGTGCAAACGGACTCGGCACTGGAAAAAGACTGCAGCTGATTGCAGCCATGCCATCCATGCCGTGCAGTCACACAGCTGAAGGTCTGTTTCACTGAGTGTTCACTGCAGCCATCGGTTCAAAAGAGTGCGGAGGAGTTGCCCTGAAGCAAATCCCCGCAGGAGTGAGAGCGTCTGACGCTGACGCCAAGGTGAGAGATTCCTTCTTTCTTCTGTTTGCCAGCTCTCCTGTTTTGGCCGCCTCTTGGGGCGCTTTCTGGGGGGCCCCTTCGGGGGCCCCCGAAGCGGGCTCCCCGATGAGGATACAGTGCCCGGCCCGGGGCTCGGCGGCTCGGCCAGCCACTGACGTTTCGCACTGACGCAGTGCTGACGCTTCGAGGTGACAGCAAGGGCACGGAGGGCAAGGAAGGCACGAAATTCCTTCTCCCGGCTGGCAACAGGGTGCCACGCTTGTCGATGGCTGTGGGCACTCGGCACTGCGCTTGCGCTTGGACCGACTCCAGCGAGCGCTGTGCTGGACGTCCTTACAGGGCTCTCGATGCCACGCGGCCTTGCTTTGGACCTCCGAGAGCGGCGAATGTATTGGACCGAGGTCGGAACAGAAAAAAGGTCAGGAAAAGTAAGAGGGTTTTTGTTTTGACGTGGGCCGGCTTGCCCTTTGCAGGGTGGCACCCAGAAGTTGCGGAGCGCCACTCTGGACGGCCAGGACTTAGATAAACACACCTGTCGCATTCGATCTTTGGCCTGCCACTCCTGCTTGGCAGGACCTTCGAGACGTGGTAGCATCTTGACCGCGTGTCGCAGGTAGGTTGTTTGGGCTTGGCTTCAAGTTCCTTGGTGTCCTGAGGTGAAGACTGAAGTTCAGGAGGCGCCCCGTGATGTGGCCGTGGATGCCGAACAGCGGAAGGTGGCCCCCTCCCCCTTTGCCCTCCCTTTCTCTCCGCAGAAATTTCTTCACGACCTGTTCTGCAGCATACTGTAACGCTTGCGTGGCGCTTCCTTCCCCTAACCAGACTTCGCGGATTTGTCCTTCTGGCGGATGTTGCGTTTCACGCGATGCAGGTCTACTGGACAGCCCTCTGTTGTGGACTTCGTCGCGCAGACCTCAACGGCGAGAACGAAGAGGCTCGGGCCCTCTCGTGGCTTTCAATCTCAGTTGCCCGGAATATATCATAATCTATCCCCTTCTCCAACCATGCCGAACATCAGCGGTGCTTGCAACGAGCTATACCACTTCCTCTTTCTGAAATGGGTGTCTTTCCTTTGGAAGTCATAACAGCGGCAATATGCGGCAGCAACACAAAACAGAGAGGATCGGAGAGGAATTTCTAGGAAATTCATCACCCGAAATCGAGGAGGTTTTCCCTTCACCAATAAAACGCGCAGGACTGGCAGGACCACAGCTAAGCTTGCCAACGGTTGGGGCTATTATTGAAATCGCAAGAGTTGACAAGAGTATCCCGACCATTCAGACAAGCAAGGGTTAAGTAGCAGCAGCAACATCACCAGAATGCCAGCATCACCATCTGTAACAATAGCAACCACAACCAGAACAACGACATCACTAGAACCAACAGCACCAACACCAACAGCAGCATCTGCGGTGCCACCAACACCAAGCAACCAGCTTCACACAGACACCAGACAGCAAACAGTAAACAATAGGAGCAACAACAACAACCACAACCACCACAACCACAACCACAGCAACCAAACAACACAAACAGCAACAACATCAACAGCCACGGACCCACCGACCGACCAACCGACCAACCAACCCACCCACCAACCAACCAACCAAGCAAACCAACAACCAACAAAAAGAAACACACCACAACCACAACCACCACGACCACCCAATCCGACACAACCGGCACAAGTGGCACAACCGCAACAACCACAACAACCACAACAACCACAACCAACAAACCAACCCACCCACCCACCAACCAACCAAACAACCACACGCAACAACAGCAGCAACAGCAGTACCACCACCAGCAACAATACTGGCAACAACAAGGTCCTCGCGCTTTTTGCCGCCCCGACGGGTCAGGCAATTTAATATGTGTTCCAAAGAGTTTCATGACGGAAGTGCTGAACACACTGGCAGGCGTGGTTCATTCGGCACATGGCATTGATAATGCTTCATGCATCGAAGTTGTAAGTCCTCATCAATGGTCGAAAGCCACTTTGCATTGAGGATCATTGATGTGTATATGTATATATATATATATATATATATATTGATTTATTGATTTATTTATTTATTTACATATATATATATATATGGTCACCCCCCCCCCCCCCCCAAGATCCACACCCGCCTCTTCCATGCTATTCCACAGGTTGTTTCTCTACATTGGTCGACAACTCATATATACCGAAAACACCGTAAATACCGATACAATCGTGCTTTACCTCATGTGCATGCAAACCGTGCTGCTGCAAGGCGCGGGTTTGATGTGTGCAAAAATCTGGCGCCGAATCTCGGCCGCGGATTTATGGTAGTTTATGTGTTGGAGAAGCTGAAATGCTGGAGGGCGTGCTAATTTTGTTCATGCAATACTAAAAAGCCTCGTGTTTTTTGCATTTTATGGTGTGTTATTTATCAACATTCCTCTAACAATAAAAATACTATGGTCTCTCTTACGAAGACGTCTGCGTGCGTGGGCCATCTCTTTCCCGCTGCTCGTGAAGCGTCCGATTCTGATGCGGCCTAATCGCTCTAGCATTTGATTTATGAGTTACGAAATACAGAGGTCCTTTCATGTCCTGTCCATTCTACATGAAGGAAGTCGAATATACGGGCGCGTTTATTTTTGAAGCAATACTCCAATAGTTGTTCTTTGCCTCATAAGAAATGGGAAAGCTCCCCTGGAGTTGAAAGGTTCATGTGCATATGCGGGCGCACAAGAAGGCTCGTCTGCAGCAAAAAGTAAGAGAGCTCTTGCAACCTTCCAAACATGAAGCAGGACTGTTCATACTTATCAAACAAGAGCAATGACAACCGTTGCTGTTCCAGAAGGCACATAAAGCAGTACTTCCAGTCCTTGACAAAGGTTGAAAGCACCCAATTATCTTGTGATGCAGTATATCTTGTCCTGGACATCAGAAAACACTGTAATGCTCAAAAAATTCCAAAATTTCCAACCTTGAAACTCACAAAACACTGTAATGCTCAAAAAATTCCAAAAACTCCAAAGTTCTGGCATCTATGGCCAGGACGGGGGCAGATTCCTTAAAAGTTTGGAATTTTTTGAGCATAGCAGTGTTTCATGCGTTTCAAGACTTGGAAAAGTTGATTTTTTTTGAGCATTACAATGTTTTGTGAGTTTCACAGCACGAAACACTGTTATGCTCAAAAAAAGTGGGGTTTGAGGCTGTGAAAAGTTGCTTTTTTTTGAGCATTACAGTGTTTTGTGAGTTTTAGACCTGAAACACTGTTATGCTCAAAAAAAGTGAGCCTTGAGTCTGTGAAAGGTTGATTTTTTTTGAGCATTACAGTGTTTTGTAGGTTTTAAACCACGAAACGCTGCTATGCTCAAAAAATTCTAAAATTTCCAACTTTGAAACTCACGAAACACTGTAATGCTCAAAAAATTCCAAAATCCTGGCATCTATG